AGTAATGGTTTTTAAAATTCTTACGGACTAATAGGTTGTAGAATAGTGTATAGATTATCTTTAAAAGAATTAGTCCGCAAGAATTATAGGGCTCCAAAATGTCGGTACTTGCATTTATAACCTACTAAATGTGATACCTAGCAGATGGTAGAATTTTTCATCATCTTTAAGAATGGCATTCTTGAGTTGTGTGTACTCTGCTTTTATACATATGCGATTGATGCTTGACATTCCAATCTTTTTAAGGATTCAACTTAACATTTGAATGCATTGCTTTCGTGGGTTCTGCTTCAGGATTCTCATTTTTCACACACTTCATCAGACGAAGAAATTGACTTGCCACATCCTCAACCACGATTCGTCCTGATTCAATAACGGAGAACCGCCTGTCTCAACCTGGTGGAAGCTTATTTGGTGATGCTGATGGAGATTAAATATTTGGCATTTTGATGCAATGTGCAGAGTCTACTTTTAGCAGCTGCAATTGTATGTCTTGCCACAGAATGTCGTGGCCGAGGATGCTCATTATGGTCAGTGGCTGCTTTCCTACCTACGTCGAAATTAGCATAATCCTACACTAATCCGCACGATGCCCTTCTATCAAAAATGCTTGTTTAGTGGACTGTAAAAAAAATGTTTTTAAGAAACACACTCATGTAAATGCGAGGAAAAACGCAAGTAAAGGTCAGTGAGCTGCATTCTTTGCAGGCGCCGTAAAAGGGGCATGAAAAATTGAAGTTTGCACTTACCTTGTTTCTGTACTGTTTTAATGGCCGTTTCTCAAGAATTGGATATGATTTGCGACAAGAGTTAACGAATTTTATTCCTTATGGTTCAATTGAAGCTAATTAATAAGACATCCCAGCTTTGTTTTACATAAGAGCCTGAGAGAGAGAGGCCATTTGCTTGGATGATTCTATTACACCAACTATTATGTGTAAATTATGCCAAATACCAAATGCGACTCGACACTCACAAGAAGAAATAACTTGGAGGAATTATTCTTCCTCAGACTCTGACACGACACTGTGTAGCTAGTCGACTCTTCCAGATTAGAAAGTCTTTGGACGCGTTTAGAACTCGTTTCAAAATGATTTTGTTTTTTGTATGAAAATGAAAATAAAAACGTTTTCAATCTTAGACAAAAATCATTTTTGAAAATGCATTTGGCAGTTTTATCAAGAAATTGTTTTCAGTATAAAAAAATTCATTAATGTCTCTCTCTCTCTCTCTCTCTACTCGAGAGAAGAGAAAACGAAAACAAAAAATGAAAAATGACTAAACGTCATTTTTCATTTTACACTAAACTAAAAAATCGTTTCTATTTCCCTTTTTTGTTTTTATTACGCCAAACGCCGTTTTAGAAACATTTTTATTTTTATTTTTCGAAAAACGTGAAATAAAAATGGAATCAATTTCAAACACGGCCTTTGTTTCTACCTTTCCTGAAACTGTGGTATCATGAACTATTTCTTTAGAATATGATCAGCATCATATAATGATTTTAAAACCAGCACAACTTATTTCAATTGCTTGGAGTAATAGCTGTTGCGATCCCGCGTCATGATTAGCAGCTAGAGCAAGGAAGTTTCTCTTCTTGGCCGCTTCTTTTGCAAAACCTTTCTCAACACCTTCAAATAGCACCATAGACAAAAACCGTCATCTTCTCCTGAGCTGAACCAAGAGAAGACAGATCATAGCGCTGTAGTTTTATTCTTTTTTACTATATTAGTAATGCCACTTTATGTCATTTCCTTTAATTGATTCATTTTCGTCGATTGTCAAGGTGATTCGAAGGCCATAACAATGGTTGCCCTTCAATAAAACCCCGATGACTTAACAAGATTTCATCCGTGTTTAAAATTGATCTCGTTTTTATTTTTTACATTTTTCGAGAAAGAAAAAATGAGACGTTTCTAAAATAGCGTTTGGCGCAATGAAGACAAAAAACAGAAATTAAAACGATTTTTTAGTTTAGTGTAAAATGAGAGAGAAATAAAAAATAACTTTTAGTCGTTTTTCATTTTTTATTTTCGTTTTCTCCTCTCTCGAGCAGAGAGAGAGAAAGTGAGAGAAAGTGAGACATTAATGGGTTTTTTTACACTGAAAACAATCTCTTGATAAAACTACCAAATGCATTTTTAAAAATAATTATTGTCTGAGATTGAAAACGTTTACGTTTTCATTTGCATACAAAAAACAAAATCATTTTGAAACGAATTCTAAACGCACTCAAAATCATTTTGAAACGAGTTCTAAATGCGCCCTTCAACGCGTAAAGGTACGTACTCTAAATTTTATTAGCAAAATTAATCGTATTTGAGAAATCCATAAATAGTATCTAAAATAAAAGATTGGATTTTCAGAGCATTCCGAAGCAAAAAGGGGTCGTCTAATGCAGTTACTTCGTATTAAGATATATGCACGATGTAATGCATATTGGCATTCATAGACTAAATAAGGTTTAAAATTATACTAATGTCCATTTGGTAGAAATCTTAAAAGAATGGGGATAATTCGTGATGGGACATATAGGTGATGTTTGAAGACATTATGTAAAATCTCAATGATTAATATTTATGTTCATAATATATACTTTTTATGAATTTGTAACGCATTTTGTTAATTCTAATATGTTAATTGTGAATTGTGATATCAAATGCAAATAACACACGAGATTAAAAGGCTATTTATGGGAAATGCTAAAAACAACACCATTTTGACTTTATTAAGAAAACCATCATTAAAATCGCACATTAGACGATGGTTTTCTAATGAACATCATCTAATCTTGATCTTGTAAGCACGCGAATGTGCACAAAATTAGGATTTAACGACAATTTAAAACTGTTATATACATATAAACTAAAATTTACACAAATGGCCAATTCATATCCATGATAAGAACGTTATATATATATAAATTGCAACAGAATATGAATCAAGACAATAACCATAATATATGAGATCAAGACTTTAAGAGAGGATACACAAGTGAATCAGTCTATCAATAACATAAAAATATCTCTTAAACAATCCAAATTTATAAAGGAACATTCTATAGAAAATATAAAAGAGAACAGAAATATAGTGCAAAAAATATCTAGATAATTATAAATTTGCACATCTTGATTGAGAGGTTAGGAAGTGATTTATGGAATAGCAAATGTAAATGATAATTAAAGTGGAGATAATGAAATTCAAAACAGTGTTAAGTATGAGAACATCCGCACTTAATAAATTAATTCACTATAACATTCCGTTGTTTTTCGTGTATAAATCTTTTACATTAATACTCATGGCATACGTATCAGAATTAGAGATTTTTCTTCTTGTAAATAATATTACTAATATCGAAACAAATTACAGATAGAAATTTAACAAGTTATAACAAAACAATATATCCTTATTCCCAAACTATTGGGTCTCTCAACCATAAAATAAAAGTGCGAAAAAAAGGGAAGGCAGCGTCTATATATATATATATATATATATATATATATATATGTATATGTATATATTCTGCATCAGAGAAGAAATTTGAAGACGATTTGTTTAGATATCTCAATGACATCAAAGATGACAAAACTAGAAGAAATCGTCACACTCATTGTAAAAAGTGCCAGGAACCCCAAAGCTAAACTTGGCGTCTATATATATATATATATATGTATATATATATATGTATATGTATATGTATGTATGTATATTCTGCATCAGAGAAGAAATTTGAAGACGATTTGTTTAGTTATCTCAATGACATAAAAGATGACAAAACTAGAAGAAATCGTCACACTCATTGTGAAAAGTGCGAGGAACCCCAAAGCTAAACTTGGCCTAGTATTCATCAACCAGTTCTGCAACAACCCTATTCCCTCCAAAACATCCTCCTGGTAGTTCACGAAATATTGCTTCTCCCAATCCATCCATTCCAACCGATCATTATGGTCATCATGATCATGATGAGTACTCCTCTCCAACATCTTCGCGTCTCGAATTCGCATTCGAAGAACTATCATATTCTCGTCCACCAACCTTCCACCGGAATCCCGTGATCCGTTTGTTCCTCTACTTGAACATGCTTTAGCGCTGCCGCCGCCGCCGCGGGGTCTTATCCGGCATGGCACGACGGGTAATGGTAGCCAATGCTGGGAAACCTTTGGAAAAGTATGATTGGTAGCCATGAAGCAAGAATTAACTAATTAATGCATGAAACTGGGGCTTACAATACTTAAGCAAATTGCTCTATCTCCTTTTTTGTCGTGACAAATATGACTACTCTATATATATATATATATATATATATATATAGACACGTATTGTTAGCACGATTGCGTGAAGAGATATACAATACTATACATACAACCTAGATGAAGGTTCTCCTATTATGCAAGGCGTGGACATACCGTGTCGCTAACTAGTACGCGTGAAAATGAAAGTTGATTCGGATTGAAGAATTGGTAATGTTAATTATTCTTATTATCATCATTAATGTTAATTATTTGACATGTCCAGATTGGTCCCATGAATTATCTCCTCTACATAAAAAGTATGAATGTAATGAAGCTTGAAGAATCAACAATGGCCCACCGCTTGCTCTTTTGAAAGGACTTCTTTCAGGTGAAAACAAAAGAAAGACACGATACGAAGTGCTTTTTATTTTATTAAGGATTGAGGATCATGTAGTTTACTCTTATACGTAATTACTATGTGGGTGCTTTTTTCAACGTGGAGGAAGGAATGAGGATCATGTAGTTCATTGTTACACGTAATATAATATTAACATTAATATTTATATTAGAGATGGTTTAATATATAATTTTTAATTGTTTATTTGTTTTGAAGAATTCTGGGCTTTATTGCCTCCAAGCAAAAAAAAGACAATAATAGAAAGAGTTAATCGTGGAAAAAAAATTTATTTCCCGTGAAACAAACATTCACTATTATAAAAAGTATCTTTAGAGCATCTCTAATATAATGTCAAAATGTACGTACATTGAATTTAGATATTTGAGTGAAAAATCACTCCTTAGTTCAAATGTTTGACTTTGTAGCATTACCAAAAAAATATAGCAAATGATTGTTGTTGATTGACATATTCACTATTTCATTTAATTATTACAACATTGTTCTTTTAAAATTATTTTAATATTAATTGTTCATTTTTATAAATTTTAAAACTTAATAATCATGATAAAATTAGTAGTATGACATTTGAAACAACCTTATACATTCAAGCAAAAAAAAAAAATATATATATATATATATAACACATCAAACATATTATTTTACTTTTTAATAGTAAATATAACATTAATATTAATAATTACATTGAAAATGGTCTTACTACCATATAAACTAATGATCCATTTATTTCGCTTATTCGAATTTAAAATTTGAGTTTTATTACAGGAAAAAGCTCTGATAAACAGTCACATTTAATTTTTTTACTACAGTAAAAAACTCTCACATAAAATCACATCTTAATTCAAATTAAAAACTCATCTTAATTTAAATTAAAAACTCAAATTAGTGAAATAAACGCCCTAATTAATTTACAATTTGTGCGGCAAGAAAGTCATAATGGTCACTAGCTAAGTACTTTTTCATCTGGTACTTCCTCCTTAGCGATAACACGTCACGCTCATTACCCGCATATCATAACACGTCACGCTCATTATTATCAAGACAGTGCAGTGGAATCAACAATATACTAATTACCCGCATATCATAAAAATTCAAAAGTTATTTTGGAATTAGTTTACAATTTTATCTTTTTTTTAAAAAATTCTGGATATATTATTAAGATATTGCTCCAAGATATTTTACCAACTAAATTCGTTCACTTTACGGATTTAAGTTTTCAATTTAAATTGAGATGTGACATTTTTTAAGAACTTTTCACTGTAACAGAAAAAGTTAAATGTGACATTTTTTGAGAACTTTTTACTGTAAAAATTTAAAACTGAAAACTCGAATCGGTGAAATGAACGAGACTAAGTCTAAGTGAAGGCTTCAACAACTAATGATTAAAAAAAAACTAATAGATATTGCAACAAGATATTTTCCCAACTAACCTAAGTCTAATACTCCGTTCGTTTCGAGAGTGCTAACCTGGTTTAAAATTATAGTTCTTAATTCGTTACAGTGTTTCTCTAACAAAAATTTAAATTTTAAAAATCAGAATTATGAATTATGATTCTGAACCTACGAACCAAACGACGTCACCTAAGTGAAAGCTTCAACAACTGATGATTAAGAAAAACCAGTAGTAAAGGTATCATCAATTGTTTATCGGTAGATAACGCGTGACACATTTCTAATTTCTTTAGTTTTCAGTCACGAGTCAATGTGTAAAGTTTCTCAATGGAGCCGATTTTGGTTCCAACTTTCAAACCTTCTCAATGATGTTGATTGCATGCAGATCTTAGTTTGATAAGATCTTCAAAGTCTATTCACATAGTTAGATATCACCTGTTCTCATTGAAGACAACTTCAATTTCAATTTGGCTTGGTATCTTATGCCACTGTTGTCCCCATAAATCCTTTCAGCCTACAACTAGTGGTTAAAATATACGTATATTATCATGCACTACTGTTATTATATAACAATTCAGAGTTGTTATCGTTCTATTATTCAATCCTTTACATCCATGCCCCTCATAAATGTTTCCAATGAATCCAGAACAATATATACTAGAAAAGACCACCTTTTCCGGAGGATATAACCAACCACTCATCTTTAGTGAAGAAGTGAATCGTGCATTCGTCGGGGAAGATCATGAAAGGCGTCAGTCATCATAGGAGGAGTGAGGAGCAGCGGTGCATCCAGGGTCAAAGGGATCTTCAGAACCACAACAATGCCAATATTGGAAAACTCGGCCAGAGTCGGGGGTATCCATAGTTCCCCCAGTGTGCACGCTCTCAAACTTCCTTTTCGTCTCTCCTGTTGCATAGAGTCATCAGATTTGATGCAAATAAGAGCCAGTCTGAACTCAACAAGGCATATAATGTGTGGTACTTAAGAACCATCATGAACTCATCAAAGTAAGGCTACAAGATTAGGAAGTTTGCACTCCTCCAGCCAAGAATGGAAGAATCTGGTTGATCATATCATTTTTTTTTTTTTTTTGGGACAAGAAACGACAATTTCATTGATAAAACAATGGAAATCAAAAAAGGAGTCCATTCAAAAATATGGAAAATCCCAAAAACAAATTAAATAAATAAAGGAGTTGGTGACCATATAAGCACCATTCCAAAACAATAGAGATAACCAAACTAAGCCTGACCTCTCAAGAATGAATTAATAAATCAGAAAAGAAAACCCTTCAAACTCTCTAATGTGGGACTCCCGGAGAGCTGACGAGAATTTTACTCTCTCCCAAATCTGCTCAATCTCCATGTACTCGCCATCATAAAAAATCCATGGATTCCTTTCAAGCCATATTGCCCAGGTAATGGTACACATTCAAAAATATCTTGCACCGATTATTCCTCCCGACCATAAAATTGCCGCTAGTCAGGTCATTTACTCTTTGTAATAGCACCTAATGAAAACCAAAACCCCTAAGAAGTATCCACCATATGCATCTAGTGAAGGAACAATGAGGTGAGAGACGATCTAAGGATTATCTATAATCCAAATGTTAGGAAACTTCTATATTTTCAGTTGTGACTGCGTTAAGCATAGAAAGATCGAGTTTACTTGCCTCCATTCAACAATTTCCCAGAAATTTATAATTCTGAATTGATTCAACCCTGCATTGGCTCTCTTAACAAAGCCACGCTAGAAATAAATAAAACCTAGAAACACCAAAGTCCAGGCAGAAAGAAAAAAGAACCAAAGAACCTGATATCCACACTTCAACCTTTTCTATTGAATGTCATCCAATATAGAAAGTCAAGCCGTTCTAAAATAACTTAGCATCATACAGGGAAATCGAGCAGTACACGGGAAAAAAAAAACCTAGAATTCTGCTATTTCACTTCAATACCAGCCAATATCTTTACAATACTTGACACGGTTAAAAAACCAGCAAGTGATTTGTGATGGTAAGCTCTTAGAACAACACAAGGAAAAAGAAACAAAATGACCAAAAATAAAGTGGATATTCATGAGACAAAACGAAAGAAAAACGTTGATCCAGGAGAGACAATATATATCAGAACTCATGGAAATATGTCAAACACATACAGAACTGTGAGCCTATAAAACTAATCAGCCACGCTTTAGCATTTCTTCAATTAAAGAAAGCTGCATGTTCTATTTCTTCCTAAGTATTTCCCTTACCCATTTAAGTCTCTTAAAGCCTCATTCATTGAGCCTCTTACTGATGCCGGTAAGCTAAAAAGCCAAAGTCCAAGAATTATAGTAGGGAATGACTGCACATTAAAGCAATGAATGTCTGCACAGGTTCTGATCTACCTCTCTTATTCATTTTTACTATGCTACATGTCAAATAAAATCTAACACAATTATGTTATTACATAAATAAATAAATGATATAATGTGAATAATTGAGCTCTTATACTTGCTCATTAGTTTAAGAAAAATCTTATCGCCTTAGGTCGTACATCTCAGGAGTGCTACAATGCTACTATATATAAAAACAATTTCAATAACTCTTTTTTTTTTTCTTTTCAAAACTTCCAAGTGAAATTCAATTTTATAACAACTTAGCACCAAACAAAACACTACATGCTGCAAGAACTAACGAACCTTAGAACTATAACAAGTTTTTTCCTTTTCCAAAGGGAACAAAATTAGCTCTGAATTTTGGGGGTTCTACCATGATGTTTAGAACGAGCTATTAAACCTTAAAATAACCTAAAACGGAATGAAATGAAAATTATCCAATAGCTACACACTCAAGAGTGTCTGAAAGCAAAGTAACAGAATTAATTAAACGAAAAGGCAAGATAAGTTTCTTGACCTTTTAATCACCACTGCAGTACATAAAAAGGACTTGCTCATAGACAAATAACTACAAATTTAATCCTCCAAATATCTTCAGTTTCAAAATGTTAGATACTTTAATTCTTTCAATTACTAGAACAAAAACAAATTAAAAACAAAAATCAAAAAATCTCTCAAAGATTCAGTCTCAAACATGAAAAAACCCGAATACACAAAATCAAACAAAACTACAAAAATTCACTAAAAGCATGTAATTTTCACCTGCGGTTCAACAAGAAACACACATAAGTATCATCAAATAGAGACATACATGCATTTTAATGTTCTAAAAGAAGAATTAAAAAGTCGTAATTACCCCCGAAATGAGCAGTGTGGAAGCGACAAGCCCGGGGGTGATTGAGAGAAGGGTCGAACTGGGTTTTGCAGTTTTTGCAAGTTCTTAGAGTGGCTTTCTTAATGGGGTCCACGGAGCACCGAAGGGGAAGGAATTTCGAAATGGGTTTTGGGTTTTGATGGGAAGGACGCAAGCGAGAGAGTGAATAAGGAAGATTCAGAGCCATCAAGATCCACAGAAATAAAAAGCTTTGAAATTGGTTGGAAGAAGCTATTCAGTTTGGACTTTGAAAGCTCAACCAAAACCAAGACATTCTATTGGTCCGTTCGCGTTTCACAGCCACTGATTCGCTGGGTGAATGAGAGTTTCTACTCTCCAGAAGAAGTGGTAAGCTAGTAATTCATCACGGCAAACCTTTTTCCCCCTCAAAATTTGAGTTTTTCAAGGAAAAAAAAATTGAGTCTAATTTACCTAATTTTAGGGATAAACTTATGGAAACATGTTATTGGTTTTATTTGTTAATAATAATATTAGATCGGTGTCTCAACATTTTAAAATCGGTATTTTAAGTCAAATTTACCTTTACTACTATTTTCTCATCAAAACAAACAAACTAAAATAAAAAAAGATACATAAATTCTCTAAAAAAAACACAAGATATCAACAAGATATTTCTTTATTATAACATAGAATATTAAAATCATTTTACCAATTTAAAATTATTAAAAAAATACAAGATATTTAAAGACAAATTTACTATAACAGAGAAGGTATAAAATTAAAATTATACCCAAAAGTTATCATGTATTTCGTGTTCTAAAATCTCATGTTTGTTTTTCAGAATTTAAAATTATGTTAAATTTGCACTCTTTCTATGTGAATAACTAATTTAAAATTCAAATTGACAAATTTACCCTTGTTGGTTATTGATAAACTTGTAATCAACATTAATCAACAAATTTTACCTTTTTAACGGCTAAATCTTGAAGATAATTATTTTTAGGATCTTTTGTTCTTTTTTTTTTTTTTGTCTTTTTTACATACGCTTAATCGGTGTTTTGTTACAGATAAAAGGTAAATTTATTAATTTAGTGATCAAAACAATTCATTGACTTAAATAAATTACAATCTTATCTTATTTTCCTAAAATTCCAATTACACAGTAAAAAATAATATTGCAATTCCATCTAAAACATACTGGAGTTATTGGCACATGAATCCTCCAAACTCTCTTAATTTGGCACTTTTAACTGTGAATTTTATTGTTTAGTAATTTAAAACTTAAACTCTCGCCCATTCAGTTCACTAATTCGAGTTGAGATGTGATGTTGTATGAGAACTTTTTACTGTAATAAAAAAGTTAGATGTGATTATTTTTTAGAGCGTTTTACTATAGCAAAACTCGAATTCTAAACTCGAATGAGCAAAATGAACGGAGTCAATTTAACACTTCTAACTTGAACTTTATTTTTAGTAATTTAAATATCGAACTCTCTTAATTTAGCACTTTCAACCCAAAATTTTAATGACACTTAATTTACCAAAAAAAACAAGGTTCAAAGTTGAAAATGTTAAATTAAGGGAGTTCAAGTTTTAAATTATTATAAATAAAGTTCAGGGTTCAATGTGTCAAATTAAGAGAGCTTAAGGTTTAAATTACTAAACTCACGTTTGTTTCATAGGTTTGAATTACTTTTAAAACATTTTTACTACAATGTTTTCTCTAATAAAATTTAAATTTTTGTTCAAGCCTACGAACTAAACGAGCCATAAAAATAAAATTTTGGGTTGAAAGTGCTAAATTAAGAGAGTTCAGAGGTAAGGTGATAATAACCCAAAATACTACTGTTGCTCAAATTTTAAAAGCAAAACAAAAAGGATTACTTTCATAAATATCCCAAATTATATACATTGTTTTAAAATGTCTATTGATTTTTTTAAAACAGTTCAAAACACCCGTCAATCTATATAAAACAGATCAAAACACTCCTTCTATCTATAAATTTAACGGAATTGATGACATGCCATAGCATTTAACTTGAAGTGGATGTATTAAAATTCTTATTAACTCTATTAAAGTGATTATGTATTAAAAAATAATAAAGAAGAAAGAAAAGTTTAGGGTTTATTCATTTACATTTTTTGAGTTAGGGTGACTTGAGTTCATATCTTAATTTGAGTTTAGGTTTATTTAAGTATGGTTTGAGTTTGAACTCTAATTTGAGTTTGTATTTAAATGTGCACATTTTAAGTTATGATTTGAATTGAGAATCTATTTGCGTTTGTGTTTAGGTGGGTCAAAACTTGAATTTGTATTTGGATATTATTTTAATAAAACGCTTAATAGTGATAGAAAATTTTAATAGGGTATACGGGTGTAATTTTATTCGTATTTTCGTTGTAAACACATAGAAAAAAATCATCTTAGTCAAAATTAAAATAAAAAAATTATGACGTTTTAAAAAATAGAAAAAATATTATTTATTAACTTAAGTATGAGTTTAGAAACTTGAGTTGAAAGAAGAACTTAAACTCAAATTAAAATTTCAGTTCAAATTTAAATTTTACAAAAAATATGAACTTGAATAAAATTGTAATTGAATTCAAATTTTTTTATTCAATTTTTTTTTGAGTTTAGGTGTAAATAAACAAGCCATTAATATATTAAAATCAAAATAAAATAAAAAAATCATAAAAAACCCCCAAAAAAAGGGCCTCAATTGCAGTCCCAAATTAATCCCAATCGTAATCAGTTTTCATAGCTAAACATGAAACCACGCCGGCCATCCGCATCCGAGATCCCACCGGCCATCCCCAACCGCAACCCCGCCGGACCTCGCGAACCCAGCCAAGTCGCCTCCCGATCACGCCGCCCACTTCGCGAACCCAGTCAATTGCGCCGCCCGCCTCTCGAACCCAACCAAGACACCTTCCAATCGCGCCGCCCACCTCGCAAAACCAGCCAAGCTGCCTCCAAATTGCGCTGCCAATCTCTTGAAGTGAGCCAAGCCGCCTCCCAATCGTGCAGAAATGTTGCTTTCGCTCGCATGATGCCGTGATGAAAGCATACGGATATGGGCTTGCAATAGAAGCGCTGCGGGCTCGATGAGTTCTTGTTTTCAGTTTAGAGTCCAAACAGAATAGGAGGAGTTGAGAGGGATATCCATGGTTTAGACTTCGTTCATTAGCGTTTAAATTAAGGCGATTCTAATTTTAATTTTAAAACTAGAACTATACTTCATAATTTTGGATTTAAATAATAATCATCAAATTAAAATCAGAATTAAGAGAATGTTTAGAAAGGAGATTTATGTCATAATTCGAATCATGATTTATGGTTCGTTACAGTATTTTCTCTTAAAAAAACACACGTAATATGAGAATAGTTCTGAATCATAGTTCTAAATTCATGAACCAAACGTAAAGTTTGAACAATTTATAATTAAGAGAGTTGTTTTATAATTAGAGGTGATTCTAGTTTAAAATATCATATCAAGATTTAAATTTTAAAACAGAATTATCTAAATCAAACACTAATTTTGAGTGAGTCAAATTAAAACTATTTTTTATTTTTTATAAACAAACAATGGTTTAAACTAGAATTATGGTTCCAAGTTCTAAAACCTTTATACTAAACGTGCTCTTAGGGCTTGTTTATTTGCACCTAAATTTAAAAAAATTTAAACTCAAGTTATAATTTTATTCAAGTTCATGTTTTTTTTTTTTTTTTATAAAATTTGAGTTTGAACTTGAGTTTGAGGCTAAATTTGAGTTCAAGTTTCCCTTTCAACTTTAGTTTCTAAACTCAAACTCAAGTTAATAAATAATATTTTTTCTATTCTTAAAAACGTCATAACATTTTCGTTTTTATTTCGATTGAGATGAATTTTTTCTATGCGTTCACAACGAAAAGATGAATTAACCCTCTTATATATCTTATTAAAATTTTTCATCATTATTGAGTTTTTATTAAAATGTTATCCAAATACAAATTTAAATTTTGACCCACTCAAATACAAACTCAAATAAATTCTCAATTCGAACCATAATTTAAAATGTGCACAACCAAACACAAACTCAAATTAGAGTCTCAACTCAAATCATACTCAAATATACCTTAACTCAAATCACTTTACTTAAAAAATACAAATGAACAAGTTCTTAATATTTTAATATTTACTTTTTTGAGTGAACGAAATATCCTGATTATGGCCCCGTTCATTTCGCTGATTCGAGTTTAGAATTCGAGTTTTGTTACAGTAAAAAGCTCTCATAAACAATCACATCTAACTTTTTTACTACAGTAAAAAGCTCTCACATAAAATTACATCTCAACTCGAATCAGCGAACTAAACGGACCCTATATGTTTGTTTGTTTTTAATCAATTTAATTTGTTTTTGTGTTTGTTTTTCCACTTTTCGTTTTGGGTGTTTAGTCTTTGCATTTTATATTAATTAGTTTTTTATTAATAATTAAGATTTTTACATTTTAAAATACTTTTTATAAATTTTTAATTACGTGAGTAATCCGTTAAAATTATAAACGGAAAGTGGACAAAAAAAGTGTTTTATTATTTTTTTTTTATAAATTAAGGGTCTATTTAGTTTATTAATTTAAATTTTTAATTTGAATTAAAATATAATTTTATATGAAAATTTTTTATTATAATAAAAAAATTAAATGTGATTATTTTTAAGAGTTTTTTTATTATAAGAAAACTTGAATTCTAAACTCTAAGGATATTTTAAACTGTTTTAAAAACTTAGGCCGTGTTTAGAATTGGTGTCGTTTTCATTTTTCACGTTTTTTGAGAAAGAATAAATAAAAACATTTTTAAAATGGCGTTTGGCACAAGAAAGACAAAAAATAAAAATGAAAATGATTTTTTAGTTTAGTGTAAAATAAGAGAGAAATAAAAAATAATTTTTAATCATTTTTTATACTTTTTTTTCATTTTCTCCTATCTCAAGCAGAAAAAGAAAAAGATAGATATTATTAAGTTTTTTTATAATAAAAATAATTTTTTAATAAAATTATTAAATATATTTTTAAAAATTATTTATGTCTAAAATTAAAAATATTTTCATTTTTATTATTATATAAAAAATAAAATTATTTTAAAACGAGTTCCAACCGCTACGTACTTTAGGTATTTACGAAAATAATCCAAACAAAAAAAATATCTCCAATTGCTGCTCATACTCTCTTTCCTTGGTCGGGACGACGAGAAGAGGGAGGAGAGAGAAATGGCGAAATTCTCGCTGTTGGGAGACGAAGAAGACGACGAAGGTCCAAGTTGTCCTGCTCTTAAGAGACCTCGCTTTGATTATGCTGCAACCCCCTTCTCCAGCGACGAAGACAACGAACCACCTCGACGACAAGAAGAGCAAGAAGAAGACGACGACGTTCAAATCGACGGCGAAAACGACGATTTCATTATTACTTCACCACGTTTACGAGGTGAATGGATTACAGAAGACGGAGCCGGAGAAGAAAACTCAGAGCTTAATGTCGATTCCATTTCTGCCGATGCCAACCAGGAGGATCCTCGTCCCCTTTCGACTAACTCGGATCGCTCGATTTCCGTTTTCTTGACCGATCCTGATGTGCTCGATTGCTGTATTTGCTTCGAGGCCTTGACGGTTCCTGTTTTCCAGGTTTGTTCTCCTTAAGATTCCCCTGTTCTGTTTTGGTTTTTTTATTGTGATTGATTAAATTTTGATGGCCTTTTGAGGAGCAGTCTGGATGCTTCGTGTTTTTTTTTTTTGGTTCATATCTAGGTTTTGATTATCACCGTTTCAAAAGATAATTTGTATAAGTCGTGGTTTTTGGATTGATGGTAATTGTGTTTATGTGCTCCCTTTGTTTCATTTCATTTTCAATATCAAATTTAAATGACAAGTTGTTTGGTAAAAAATGTACAACTAAAGATGAAACTTTATCTTGCAAGAGAGGATTTTGTATTATAATTTATAATAGTCTTAAGTTATACAGGGTTCATGTCATCGTTTTTAGTTAAATTAATGTGTGTTTTTAACCTCATGTGAAATACTTGAGCTTTGATTGACTCTGATAATTGCTTCATTATATGTTAAAAGTTGTCAAGAATTGAGTGTTTTGCCGTTTATATTTCCAAGAAGTACTAGGATATCTTATTGTTTGAGCTTCAGTGCACGTTACTTTCATTGATGGGAGAAATTAGATAAAAGAAATTGGTCATGTTTTCAGCATCATTAATTTTGAAAGTTAAAACGGTTTTCAGCATCATAAAGTACTCATTGTGATAAAAAAGAAAGCGATTTGTATTTCTTAGTCAGAATTTTTTTTATTATTATATTGCCGTCGTTGGATGCTTTAATGGTTGAGTATATTGGTTGGTTGTTGGATCTAAGAAGACGATAGAATTCAATGTGTTTTTGGCATTGTAGCATTGGAGCAAAACATGAAAGTTGCATGCTAAATTTAGCGTTTTGAACAGCATGGTATTCCAAATAAATCCATAGTTTGAACTTTGGCCTTTTGCATTGTAGATGGTGTGAGAAGGTTTTCCGTGTATATATGTCAAGGTAAGTAATACTGCAATAACATTAGATTATAGGATTTCATTCGAAATGATCTGAAGTCTCAACAACAATATTTACTGGATATAACACTGACAATTCATGGTTCTCGTTGGGGTCTTGTATTGTATTGTCTGTTTCCAGAATTATATCTCATGCTTATTGGTAGAGGTTTTCTTTGGTGGCTAAAAGATATTAATAGATGCAAAATAAATCAGTCAAATGTTGCTGAATTACTGATTTTTTATGTTGTACTAGTAGAACTATACGGGAACCAGTCTCAATTGAGCGGTCATTTTTCATAGTTACAGGTCATGCTTTCGCACTTTCACATTTGCAACTGTAGAGGGCGGTTTATGACCTTCCAATTTTCGGTGCTATATTACTCTTGTTGTGGCCATTTAAGAACAGAAAATGAAACACACACAGATACACATATATGTATTGTTACACTTTGTCTACATTTCTCAGTGTGCCTGTGATGTGTTCTGAAATTCTGATAACTATCTTGTGCTTCCTGACTATCCAGTGTGAGAATGGACATATAGCCTGCTCTTCCTGCTGCACTAAACTAGGAAATAAATGTCCCTCCTGCTCATGGCCCATTGGCTATAACCGTTGCCGGGCAATCGAGAAGGTTCTGGAATCAGTCAAAATTGCATGCCAAAACAAGCAGTATGGTTGTAAAGAAATGGTTAGTTACAGTGAGATAAAGGACCATGAAACGACATGCACACACGCACCTTGTTCATGCCCTCTTACTAGCTGCAATTTCATCTCCTCCGCCAAGCAGTTATACCAACACTTTCGCAGTCAACACGCCGATTCTGCTGTGCTTTTTCAGTATAACTGTGATTTTACTGTCACACTGAATGAGGGTGACAAGTTTCTTGTTCTTCAAGAACGTGATGGTGGTGGCTTATTTATCCTTAACAATGAAACTGAAACCCTAGGAAATTTAGTCTCCGTTAGTTGTATAGGGCCCTACTCATTTGGAAAAAGCTATTATAATCTGCTAGCAAAATGTGATGGAAACACTCTCAGACTAGAGTCTTTTGCGACGTGCACTCAGGGCCAGGCTGATTACTCTCTATCATCAGTATACCTCCTTATTCCACCTGGTTTTTTTGGTTCTTCTGGCCAGCTCAAGTTGGATCTCTTCATAGAACGTCACGATCAATCTCCTGGATGCTCTGAAAGAAGTGTTGAGGCTGCTTAACACGAGGTAACCATTGCAATTAGAGTTGTACATGATTTTAAATTTTAGATTGACTGTATTTATATCATCTTAACGTGTTCAAGGAAAATATATATATATATATATATATATATTTTTTTTTTTTTCCTTTTCAGTTTTATTGACATTTAACACCGATTCAGTAGGTCCATATTTCTTTAAATTGAGTTACATGACTTGTATGTGCTCGCAATTTAGGGGTCATTTTGGTAAGAGAAAAATCGAAGTTGATGGAAAAATCAAAATCGAAGTCGAGAAAAATCACAATTTAGGGGTCATTTTAGTCTCTGTTAGTTGTATAGGGCCCTGCTCATTCAAAGGGTGCTTCTATGATCTGCTGGCAAAATATAATGGAAACACTCACAGACTAGAGTCTTTCACGAAGCGCACGCAGGGACAGGTACAGGTTGATAGCCCTCTATCATATTACTGCGCCTCCTAATTCCTCTGACGGGTGTTCATCCAATTCAATCCTGTCTATTTTGGTCATGTAACAACCAATCCAATTAAGGGTCGGTTATTAAAATTTACATCTGATCTAATTGAATTACTAGTGTATCATCCAATACAATCCAATCTTACTAAGGTCGGTTTGGATTGGATTAGACCAATCAATTGTCTACTTGAGCTTTTTGTACATTTTTTCTTTTTAGTTTTTTAGTTTAATGTTCTAACCTATTTGTTATATCTTTTTGACAAAATTTAAATACTACAGTTGAAAAAATGAAGTAAGGATTAACATCCATAAATCTAAAAAAGCATATAAACTCTAAATTATTTCAAAGTTGATTAAACATTAAAAATAAAGTTACAAACTGATAAACATAAAAAGTTCAGTAAAAGAGAGCAATGAAAAACATTGAAAGAAAGTGAATAGGGAAAAAAATAGTATTTAAATTTTGGACCAATAAGATAAATATAAAGTTTTTACAATATACAGAGGTTGGATCGAGCGTTTTAAAAGTAAAATTAACATTCAATCCAACCAAAATCGGTTTTTAAGAATTTACATTCAATTTAATCTAATTGAGGTCGATTATTCGTTAAAAATGGATTGGATTAAGTGGGATCGGTTGGCTTGATCAGTTGATTGGATTAGACTTGGAAATGCCTCTTGAATTTTTTTTGTTCTTGTGGACAGCTCAAGTTGGATCTCCCGCATGCTCTGAAAGAAGTATTGCGGCTGCTTAACACGAGTCAACCATTTGTAGTTAGAGTTGTACATGATTTTTAGATTTTAGAAGATGAACTGTATTTGAATATCATGTTATTGTGTTCAAAGAGGATATTGTCAGCCTTTTGCACGTAGTGTTAATTCATCTTTGACAAATATCAGGGCATTATCAGTGTTAATTGCCTGATTTTATTATTTGTCAAACTTGACTAATTGACTCTAATCCCCCTAATTTTTGTTGGCCTGATACTGAATCTCAAATTATTTTTAGGTGCTGATTTAGTAGGGTTATATTTCTTAAAAATAAATACAAAAAGGCAAGCAAACAAAAATAACTCAAAATAGAAGGAAGACGGCAATGAAGCAGCCTTCGAGGAATACTCTTTTAATCTTTTTGAAACTTTAGAGCCCAAATTTATAGGACTTTCTTTTTTTCCTCAAAATCTTTGTTTATATTTTTTCTTCAAAATTTCACATTCCTCCAATTTTTTCTAAGAATTGAAGGCTACAATCTCTATCTCTGTCTGAATAATTGTGTAATTGTTGATCCTCAATGCATTATTTGCATCAAATAAAAAATTCATAAGGAACTTTGTCAATTTATAAAAAGTTCCAAGAAGAAAAAGGCGCCAAATATATCATGACAAGAAAATATTAAAAGAAAATAAATGCACAAATAACATAAACTTTTGTTCTTTATTCAAAAACGAAAAAAAAGCTAGCATCACTCTTTCTATAGCTCTTTACATTTATTACTTGACATGTGGACTCTATTATCTCACTTTCTATTTAAATAATAATATATTATTTTAGTGGAGTGCATGTGTCAAATAGTGAATGCAGAGAATGACAAAAAGAGTTATGCTATAGCATATTTTTAAAAAACGTAATTCCAAATAAACGCACGTAGAAATTATCAAGGCTTGTGAAGAGATCGGCCAGCAAGCAAAGCAGCTTCAGTGAAAGGGGAAATATCGTCAATGACTTTGTAGATGTTACACTTGTTGCCCTCGAATGTGTGGCCTCCTGAGTACTTCTTGACCTTTTCCATGCACTTTAGGAGCTTCTGGCTGCACTCTTGGCTTAGATACTCATATGCACCATCACCGAGCAATTGTTGTATAATTGCCCCTATATATTCACCATCTAATTCTCAATATTAATTTAAATGTGTCTTCCAAATTAATATTAAAAAAAAAAAGTCAAAAAACAAATAGTAATTACAAACAAAGTTACATAGAAACAAAGAAGTAGGAGGAGAAGAAACAAACCAAAATATTTTTCTCGGTAGAGTAAAAAAGTGAGTGAGCAGAGATAAAAAGGTGAAGGCATATATGGTGAGAAAAGTAGCATATGTATCTTAATCTTTTATTTTTTGAGTTAATAAAAGTAAGATTAGGTTGCTTACAAAATATTGGAGCCGTAAGTTGGAGGGAACAAATTTGTATCGGTAGGGTAAAACTGCATTCTTGACGGAACAAGTAAGTGCGGTGATTGAGCAGAAGACGCCACCGAAGTATAAGGATCCAGGTTGTCCCACCATTTCTTGTCAGATCGGGACACATGAATTCGGCCAAGCGTTACTAGACCTAGGATCGAGCGTTAACCTCATGCCTTATTCAGTATACTCGCAATTAGGTCTTGGAGAGATTTAGCCCACATTTGTGGTTCTGCAACTGGCTGATAGATCTATTAAGAGACCACGGGGAATAGTGGAAGACGTTTTGTTGCAAGTTGACAAGTTTTATTACCCCGTGGACTTTCTTGTCTTAGATACAGAATCCGTGGTGAATATGGAGTCATCCATTCCCGTCATTCTAGGAAGACCTTTCCTTGCCACAGCAAACGCACTTATCAATTGTAAGAATGGTCTCATGAAGATATCTTTCGGCCCTTGAGGTGAATATTTTTAATATTCAAAAGCAACCACGTGATGACGACGAGTGTCAGCAAACATTCATGATTGATACATTTGTCGAGGAGGAGGTTTAGCTGCAAAGTAACTCTGAAAATCTTGAAAACCTCCTCCAAAATTTTGATTCTGAAAATTCCGGTTCTGCTGAGTTGGCTCACTTGTCTGTAATTTTCAACAATTCACATGATAGAGGGACCAAGTTTGGGCCACCATGTTTTGAGGAGCTCCCAACAGAAGGAGAAAAACTGAAATCATCCACCGAGAAGGGTCCAAAGGTTAAGCTAGCCCAACTACCTGAGGGCTTAAAACATACGTTCTTGGGAGATGAAGGCACATTCCCAGTCATCAAGTCGTCTAAACTCGATACATTGCAAGAATGACGATTGATCGACATGCTGAAAGAGCGTAATTCCAGGATCAAGGTAAAAATGAAAGCGGCTCATGGCAAGCAGATCCTGAGGAAGAATTTTGAGCCGAATCAACGGGTTCATCTCTATGATTCCCGTTTGTTTCTCCACCCCGGTAAGTTGAGATCGCGGTGGACTGGCCCGTTCGTAGTGAAACATGTTTTTTCCAATGGTGCTGTCGAGGTTGAGGGCCCAACCAATGGGTGAATCTTCAAAGTAAATGGCCAGCATTTGAAGAATTACTTAGAGCGGGTGAACCAGGTTGAAGAGATCATTCTCGACGACCCCGTTTATCAGCCCTGAGTAGTTTGCTCACATCTTCTGTACCATAATTTGATTTTCTGTTTTTCTTTGCTTCTTTTTACATTTTTTTTTGGAGAATCATATCAGGAAGCTCAAGCTGTACTCATATGTGGAATGCTCATCGTCCAGGTGTCTTCTTTCTCTATACTTCCACAATTTTTGACACTAAGGACACTGTCTGATTTTGGTTGGGGGTGGTGAGCATATTCATGTGTAAGAGTGATTTTTGTCATGTTGATATTTGGGTTAAAATTTTTGAAAACTTGTCTGAGAATGATTCAAAATGATTGGTTTGGGTCGATCTTTGCTGTCTTGGTTGCTAAGAAATGACTTACAGAGTTTCTTTTTGCACGTGCTAAACCTTGTGGTAAGATGGATGTTAATGCATGTCAGCTGAGAAAATTCCCAAGTTTAAGTGCTTGATTTTTGGTGAGTAGAGTAAACGACTTTTGAACCTTCATTGATCTTTTGAGCTGGTAAAATCACTGTTAGAACATCATTACATGGTTAGTGGTATGCTTGGTGTATATGCTTGAGGGATGAATTTTGGGTTAGATAGGAATGATCTTATGTAATATAGCCTCATTTCTTATCCTTCCATTTTTCTTTTACTTTTCAAAAAAAAAAAAAAACTGAGCAAGAGCAACATTTCACAGATCCTGTAGTTTGGTCGTAATCACATTCGATGCTATATAGCTATTTGTCAAAAGAAAACATTTCTACATTCACTTCATTATTGCAGGTTGTCTCTTGCCAGAAAAAAAAAGAAGAAAAAAAAAGAAAAAAAAGTAATTTATTTTCCTATGCATTTTTTTGGCTCTTTGTTCATTTCTGTAAATTTCTGTTTGACCTGAATGAAATCCTAAAAACTGGTTTGTGGTAAGAATGGTGGAATGTTCTAGTAGTTGATTAACCTATCTTTTGGTCAATGTTCGTTTGACTGTTTGTCCTAAATTTGACCTTCCTCACACTGAGCGTTGAATGTTCCAGTTCCAACTCCATGAGAGAAAACCTTTACACTCAAATATTTCTGACACCCGTGAGATCAATGGAGTTGAGACTTCTACTTGGTGAATTTTTCAAAGCTATATGTGTTATGGTCAGTGGTAAGAAGGTTATGGTTTGGAGCACACACACACGACTCTGGAGTTATGACTGAAATAATCTAGACAGTATCTTTTGACTTCTTACTAACAGTTTGTTTGAAATACTCAGGTGACTAAGCTAGTTGAGACTCAGCTTTTCTTTATGACATGATTTCTCTTGTGCTTGAATTGCTAGAGACTAGCAATAAGCTGGTTGAGAGTTATGATTAGTGCATGAAAATGTACCTTAAATACTGCTTTTGATTTATATAATATTAAAATATTTAAGCTTTAATTAAATAATTCCACCATTTTTATTCATAATTTTTTTTTAATTGGAATTTGTCTAGTTTTTACTTAATTATTTACAGTGTAAAAAGCTACACAAAAATAAACCATGAAAGCCATGTTTTCAACCATCCGGAGCCAAGCCTCAGCCGAGCCGCACGAAGCCGAGCCAAGCCACTATCATTTCTCTCCACATGGGCCCCAGCTCTCCGCGTTTTCCCACTCTTCCTCGCGCGCGTCACTAGCACGTCGATCTCTCAGCGCGCACGTGTCTTCCACGCAACCATCAGCGCGCGTCATAGATTTCCTCCGCCTGGGTCCCGCGTGGTAAGCGTGCAGCCTGCCCCTCTTCTCCATGCGTGACAGCTGGCTTCCGCGGGTCCCAGCTGTCTCCAACGCTAGCAGACTTCCTCCACTCCGCGCGCGACACGTGGTGCTTTATTCCTTTCCTCCAACCAAGCTTCGACACGTGTCCAAATGAGTGCTGAATCCGGATTTCTTCTCCGCAAATTATCAGATTTCTTCCCCAAATCAAATATATGATTTCTCCTAACTTATGTTTAATTTTATTTTGTTTCCCTTTCTTTTGTAATTTTCTATTTTTATTGTTTGTTTCCTTATTTGATATGCAACCTCTGAACACTATAAATAGAGGGGTTAGCCCAAAGTTTTGAAAAGTTTTGAATATTCAGTTTTCTGTCGTCTTGCTGTCAGTCTCATATTTTCTCTCTAAACTTGTGAGAATGTTTTGCAAGCTAGGCTAGAGTTTTCTTAGTGAGGTTAGAGATGAACTTCTGTTGAGCGACCCAATTCGGGGCTTTGATCCCTTGTGCTGTAAAGTTCAACATCTGAATGAATTAAATCTCATCTATTTTTGTATTACTTTTCAAAGTATTGTGTGCCAAGTTTTATATAAGTTCAGCACGCTTTTCTTATGTAATTATGTCACGCATTATTTTGTTATTCAAATTATTTTACAAATTGTCTTTTACTGCAATATTATCAAATTGATATATTGTCGATTTTAGATAACTTGTAATGATAATATTTCTGGAGTCAATATAGAGATTTAATTTATTCGATTCTTTTATTTTGTGAATCAAAACTTGAATTGGTGAACGAGACATTAGGGATTCTCGACACCTTACCATTTTCACTACTGAATTTCTCCACACAAATTTCCTCCTTTTTATTTTATTTCCAATAAAATCTCAAAAACTCTTCT